AGAGTTGTGAAAGGTACATAAAAGAAAAGTCAGAGGATTCAAACTTAATTTTGCGACAAATAGATCAATTAATGAGTACATATATATTCCCTTCATTATAAAGATTACCATGAGAAATTATTTTTTTATAATGGAATGGTGAGAAAATATTTATTTAATCAAATCTGTGAGATGTGATTAAATTTGTGGTTACTTTAAAATCAGCTAGTTTAAGGGATTTTTTTTTTGGTAGCTATCTTGTTTTTGGAGCTACTTTTGTTTTATAGATTAATGCACAACTATATATATATATATATATATATATATATATATATATATATATATATATATATATATATATATATATATATATATATATATATATATATATATATATATATATACTCAGGATAAATATTTGCACCTGTACAGTTATGAAAATGAAGAATCAGAATATTTTGCTTATTTTCCATAATCAAAATAATCAGAACTATATCAAAAGATTGTATTCCAATTTTAGGCTATTTAGAATAATGTACCATGAAGATAGGCATTCAATAGATTTGGTAAAAAAATAAAATATGTTAAAAAGAAAAAGAAAAGAACTTTCTAGAAAAAATATTTTTGGATGAAAAGATAAACACAAGGAAAAGAACTTATAAACACCAGCTTTGACACAATAGATGTGTTACCAGTAAAATGTAAAACAACAGAGTTACAAAATATCCAAAGACTTCATTCTGCAAAAGAAAACTAATGCAGGTTATTGATGCAAGAATAACTGCTTGTTATTGAATAACAAGCAGTTATTCTCAATGCTAATGCAATAGACTTGCGAAGTAATGTTACTGAGAAACCTGATGTTAAATAATGTTACTGAGAAACCTGATGTTAAATATTAAAAGAAAATCAATAATCTAGATAAGCTGATATAGTTAATGTCAAAAAAACTAAAAAACTTCATAGAGAAAAAAAAAAATTCAGGTTTCTATTTTATGTAGATGATTATGTTATGTAGATGACTAGGTTATGTAGGTGTCTACTTTATGCAGATGATCATTTTGGTAAAGTTTGAAAAACATCTGATATGAAATAACCCTATATCTATTTATATATAATAATACATATAAGTATTTAAACGTTATTAATTTAATTTCACTGCATAAATATTATAACTATCCTATTGTGTAAATAGCTATCCTACTGTGGTACTAACTAATAACAACAAAATTATAAAATGAAATAAAATATTATATTGTTGTTAGAAAAGTTTGTAGAACCGCTCATATATAATAAAATAGAAAATAGAAATAAATAAATTTTTGAAATTTTATCTTATCAAATATTCAAAATAATGCCCATTAATATCTATACAAAGTTGCATTCTTTCACGCCATTTGTCAAACATTTTATAATACTCTTGTTTGGGTATTTACTTTGAAGTAGCTTGGTTAGGTGGTTATTTTGACTTTCAACGTCAATATAATCATCAAGATTTTATTTATTAAGTTAAATAACCAATAATCGGATGAAGCTAAGCCTGGCAAGTATGGCAGGTGGTAAATTGTTATGATTCCGGCTTGGTTAACATAATTTGTGACAGGTTGAGTAACATGGGATCAAGTGAGAAATTTAAAATTTTGGTCTCTGTGATATATTACGGCTGCTTCACTCGATATAAGAACAAGCATGACGTCATCAGTTTATTAAAAAAATAAGTATTTCCGCATAAAAAATATAAAAATTCACAAACTTCAAAATAATAGTAACTTTTTTCTATAAATGCTTTTATCTTCAAATTAAAAAAGTATAAAAGATTCTTATCTTGTTAAATAAATGTTTGTATTAAGTGGAATAAATATTGTTAAACTATTTTTAATGATTTAGAATCACTTTTCTGGTTTTTCACATATTTTGCGGAAAAGCTAAGTTAGGCCAACTAAGATTTGATAACATAGCTCTGAGCTTGATAGTTGAAATTTGGAACACTTAGCCTTGAATGTTCATTCTATCAGATTCCTATGTCATCATGGCGATTTTTTTTACAAAAAGACTAATTTTGAAGCATTTGTATTTTTTAATTTATCATTTTTAAATACAAAACATAAATTTTTTGATGGATGACGTAAGTTATTGAAATTTCAACCTTTTTTGCAAATGAAAATAAAAAAATTATTTTATGTACCTTTAGCTATGTTATCAAAAAAGTTTTCAAAAATGTCATGTTTTACAACAAATCTTGTTAGTTTTAGACGTTCATTTGTGTTAACGTTTTATTGCGATGACCTTTATGCGTTAAGTCCCAAATTATTTACTTTGTGCATTACGTCCCAAACTATTTATTAACGAACTTTGTCAAAACAACTGTTTTGGCGAATTTTTGAAGTATAAAGTAAACCAAGTTACACAGAATTTTTCTCACTTGTTAAACCCACTTTTATCTAATGCATTTGTTTATTAATATTTTTTTATTTGCTTGTATTATATTTATTACTAAGTCAATTTTATTTTAATATCTATGTATTCAACTGAGAGGGAAATTTTAAAATAGCACATTGGATGGGAAAATGGTTGAGAAGGTAGATGTAACTTTCCTTTTGTTAAGCAATTAATTAAAGCAGATAAGATCACTAACAATGTCATTTCCATTTTAATAAAAGTCTTTAAAATACATCCATTTATTTAGTTTTATGAGCTTTCTTTTGCCAATTGATTTTGATATGCCAAGTAATGACGTTTTTGATAAAATGTGCCTGAATTTAACACGCCAAAAAAAGAAATATAAGAAAATTTTTGTTTTGATTTTAAGCTAAAAATCAAAATAGTCATGTTGTTCTTAGGTGGAGATATTCATTTCATCCATGATGTTCTGAGACACCAGGGTTCAGCTGCTAGTTGATCAATTAGTAGATCTAGTTGATTAACTAGGTCTGTAGAACTAGGAAAGCTAACAGCTGAACCCTGGTGTCCCAGAACATCATTGACGAAATGAATATCTCCACCTAAGAACAACATGACTATTTTGCTTTTTAGCGTATAGTGAGAATGTGAGAATGAATGAACTGTGGGATGCTAGAGGCGTTGAATGTTCTAAAACAGCAGAAGCTTTGCCTTTATTAGGAAATCAATTTGTAGATGTTGCAAATCTACAGGCTGATTAGTTAGCTTTTAATAAAAATATTTCTGAATTAGAATGCATATCTCCTTCAATAAAAAAAACCTGTAAACAGCAAAAAAATGTGTGCTAGTATCAGGTGTTAATTACAAATTATGATTGCAACATATGATTGGGTGCATTGTGGTATGTGCCAAAAATGGTTTTGCAAATTTTTGCAAATTATTGTTGATTCAGAAAAGAGTGTATTGTGTGACAGAAGTACGAGTGTTTAGCATGTAAGGGTGAAGATATAGAATGTCTTGACCTTTATATTTCTGAAAAAATTTCTTTTATATGCGCACAAAGCAAACTTTTATACATTGAATATATTTGATTGCAGATAGAGTGTAAAGACCTAAAAAAAAATGCACAAAAGTAGCATGGGGACTCATGAGAAGTCTCTTTATAAGGTCCTTGAAGATAAGAAGGTTGAGTAACAAGCTTACCATGGTAATGTATATGTAGGTAATAATTGCAAAATAGTATTAAGAAACCACTATAAACTTTGTAGTGTTATTGATGATGAAGCGATTAAAAATAGATTTGTATGCGTGTTTAATGTTTTTAATAAGTTGCAGTCTATTCTTTTTAAGCAAAAATTTCTTTCTAATGCAGAAATTACTGAGCTTCATCAATATATAAATTTATTTTTTATTGAGTTCAGATGCTTGCAATGAGCGAGATCTATTTGTAAAATTCCATAAAACTATTGGGTTGCTGAGTAAAGATGAGGGAGAGTGTTTGCATAATAGCGTAAATAAGGAATTAAGACAGTTGCATTCAGTAAGAAATCAGAAGCTGTGTCTTGTTCTAAAACATTTTGAATCGCACAGCAAAGCTGATAGGAAGCTTCAAGCCTCTAAAGTGAGAAAGTGTGTTGTGTGTTCTGAACATGGAAAAAATTTATTTTTTAGACAAGGTCATGTCATGTTTGTGGTCATCAAATTTAGTTTAAATATTTAAAATATCAAAAACAAAAAAATAAAAATTTTTACATTTAAAATAAATTATATAAAATCCTTAATTTATAAATAAGAGAACTTTATTCTGTTCTGTCTGTGTAATGTTTGTTTAAAATATTTATTATTTTTTATTATATTAATTTTAAATATTAGGTAGGTGCCCATTCTACACCTATCTTCAGAAGTTAATTATACCTATGCAATACCTTTGCTCAGGTTAAAGAATGGAATATAAGTCTAGCATCAAATGTATGTAAAAAAATGCTTACTATTTTAACTTGTGAACAGAGCAACTGGTATGTTTATTGGGTATGATCTTAAATGTTTGTGTAGTTAATTTAAAAAATGAATTGTTCTTCATTAAATGTAACTTTTTTTATGTACTAGATCCATTCGATTATTTTCATCAGAAGTTAATAGATCCTTAATCCATTTGATTATTATCATCAGAAGTTAGTTCTACTTTTGGAGTACTTCTGCTCTACATACCTCTTCTCTGGTTAAAGAATGGAATATAAGTCTCAAATATATCAAGTTGATATATTTGAGACTTATATTTGAGAAATTTTTTAATAAATTAAGAATTTGTAAATGTTATTGCCACAATTTTGAGTCAAGCAGTTGAATCTAGTATCAACTGGGTGTACTAAGATAGTTTACTACTTAAAGAACTAATTAATGGACTTATTAATAAAAGAAGTTTTTTTACTAATACATTAAATGTTGTAACATTTATTGATATTTTTATTCTTTTTACAAAACAAAATTATCTGTAATAATTCAAAAGTTATAAATGTTTTAATATATTTTCAAAAAATAACAAGAAGCTGTAAAGCTCCGTTTGAAACAGCCGTGATATAAATTTCCTTTATTTATAAACGCCCCAAGTAAAATATGATTACCATGTTTCAATCTCTTGAGGAGTGTATGTAACTCTTGGAAGTGGTTGACCACTGAAAATTTAAGTTAAGAAAGCTTTAAATATTTAAATGAAATATTTTAAACCAGAAAAATAATGAAAATAAAGTTTTAAATACTTACTAACGATAATTTATAGCAATGTCTGCAAACTCCTTTCTTCTTGCTCTGTATATTGGATCTGTGAAACCCTTTAGAATTATTAAAAATGTTCAATAATCTGATTTAAAAACTATCAATATTTTGCAGTTTTCATTTTATTCAATTCTCCTATCACAAATAACAATTTGTAAACAGAGAACTTTAATTATCCATTCAACAACTTTACATTTGCAGAAATATAATCATAATGTAAATGTAAATGGGCCGTGATGTTGTTTTTAATCTGGGGAGAGAGGAGGGCAAATGACTCCCTTATATTTTTGATATTTTATATTATGCTTAATATTTTATTTCTAAAAGTTGATAAAAAGTTAAACGGTATATAAATATAAATTACTAGGGATACCAATAACTAATGCATTATATTATATATAACTAATGTATTATATTATAAATAATTATAAGTAATGAATATAGTTTTTTTTTTAAAATAATATTCATTTTCCTGAGGTGGATTGTGGCACTACTAACTAGGAAAATACTTTTTTTATTGTGGTTACAACCCTCTCTTAACTTTTTAACACCAAAACACAAACATTGACAAACAGAGCTGCTGCGTCAAGAAATAAGTTGAGCATGGTGTAGTACCATGCATAGTAGCATGATAGGAATCGAACTCAGAATTTTATGCTTACAAAGCAAGAATTCTACCAATACATCACTACCACAATAGTTTTCTTATACTTTTTATGAAGTACTGAAGTATCATTAAATAAAGTCAATAAAGAAGTTTTAAAATTTTGCAAAAGCTTTGCTTAACAGAAGGTTGTTGTTATATTTATCCAACAAATAACTTTTTTTATGCCCAAAGCTGATCAGCAATGGATTTTATATGATTAAAACAAAATATGTTCAATCTGACAAACCCTAAGATTAGTCTAAAAAGCACAAGTCATATAATTAAATGGGATAGCCTGGTCAGGACTGATTTTTATTGCAACAATAACATTAGGAAGATTATCATACAAGGTTTATGAGCTCAGTCCACCATTAATAATAACTGCATTGAGGGTTTTATATATGATTTTTCTTTTGCAAGTTACTTTCATTGTGGCAAAAGAGCCTAACTTGCCTTAATATTGGTGTAATGCCATGGCAAAGACCAGGACAAGACACCAATAATAGATTAATTCCATTTAAAAAATATTTTTTGTTTTGGGTAACTAGCAAAATCTTTAACTTATTCTGTTGGAAAACATCTTTTATGACACAACTTGTATTATGGTGCATATTTGTGTAACACATATATTAATGATTTAATAACTGGAATTGATAGAAATGAAATTATTCTCAATTAAATCTAAATTATAAAAGACACTACAAACAAATTCTGCAAGCTGTTTGGATGGAACAAATAATCCATCAGGTTATAAGAAAGTTAGATAAAATTTATTTTCGATATCACTGTCTCTAGCTTTGCAGTTTTTGCATTTTTACCTTTTTTGATAATTGCAATGTAGCATTGCATAACCTTTTTGACTTTTTGCAATGTAGCCTGCTCTATAGCAGGCTAAAATTGTTAACAAGCTGTCATCACATAATCATATCCATCATTCAGGAACTCCTCAATAAGCACTGCTTGAGCACATAAGGTTACTGCAAATGCTGATAAAGTTTGAATTGTAGGGGTGAATGCAGGTGAAAAAGACCACTGAACAATCCAATCAGCCAGAGCTTGATAAAATGCCATTTTCTTGTTTCCAATAATAATATTAGATTATTGCCAATAATAATAAATAAAAATCTTGAACTAGCATTGTCCACCGAGTGTTAAAAATAGTTAGAAAATTTAAAAGATCTTTTTGATTTAATTTGAAGCTATCCTTTTGATAGATTTTTGAAGCCCAATTGGAATTTTATGTATAATTGCTGATGCTAGCAGCAAATTTTGCTTATTATTTACAGGGTGTAATACATATGTAGTTTTAGGAGCATTTCCAAGCTTACTTTTTGGTTCATTATCATTATGGTAAATCTTGAATAAATCATCCCAACTAATATATCCTGATGGAAAATCAATTTAATATTCGCATTATGGTAATTCTGAAAAAAAAAATTTACAAATTTACAAAGTTATCTCTAAAGTTTTTGACTAAATGCACACAAATCATAAAACAAATGTCTACTTTCCACAATTCTGTGGGTAATAAATAAAATATTTTGATTCAAACTTGAAGATTAAAACTGATGATGAGAATGTGTTAACAATAGTTGAATAATTTTCTCTTATTATACCAAGCACAGTGAACCCAACACCTATTAGACTTTTAAGGTTGTCCGCTTTTTTTTGTGATGAAGCTATTTTCCAGAAAACGTGACTTCAGGAATTGCTTGAACAATAAATGGATTCTTTTAGTCCTAATATTATGAATGCAAAAATTCTTTTGTACAAGTTTTTCAGTAACAACATTCTCTCCTCCTTGTAACTGTACTGCTTTTTTTAAATACATCTTAGCTACATCTTGCTTATTATTTACAGGGTGTAACACATATATAGTTTTAGGAGCTTTTCCAAGCTTACTTTTTGGTTCATTATCATTATTTCGTTCTAATCAGTACAACATATTTGGTAGGAAGTTTTAAAAACTAATTAAGGGTACATTTATCACCTCTAATTATATATTTATCTTCAAAATGAAGTTCACATTAAACAGAAAGTTTTATTGGAATCCAATATGAACAATTAAAATATTTGTATCCAAAATTGATTTATATTTTGGTCAGTTGGTTAAATAAAAAGATTCAACTTGTTTGTGTTTGTTCCTTAAATATCCTGATGTACATTTTGATGCAGAACATTTTACCATTTTTAATATAATTTCTTTAAAAGTTAGTAAATTTATAAAGAAAAATAGCTTTAAAAACAATATAAAAGCATTTTTTATGTTAAAACTTTCAATATATATATATATATATATATATATATATATATATATATATATATATATATATATATATATATATATATATATATACATACATATATATATATATATGTATATATATATATATATATATATATATATATATATATATATATATATATATATATATATATATATATATATATATACATATATATATATATATATAGATATATATATATATATACATATATACATATATATATATATATATATATACTATATATATATATATATATATATATATATATATATATATATATATATATATATATATATATATATATATATATATCACATTCACAAAACTTAAACTTCTTTAAGGGCACTGAAACTTATTAAAATACAAATGACTGAGTAAAGAAGTAAGAGTAAAGGTAAATACAATAAAAGTCAAAAAAAATACTAACAATACTTATGTTCTTACTTTTAACCTAAATCTAAATGAATTCTTGATGTGCTTCCCCTAACTGGACCCCTCCAAAGGAAAAAACTTAAAACCTACCCACAGGAAAACAAATGTATAAATAAATCAATATATAACAACTTCCTAAACTTTACATAGTATCTCTAGGGCCGTCCCGAAGAGATTTTAAAGGTAGGGGAGGGAGTGTGTTTTTTGCCGACTAAAGCTAAAAAAAAAAAACAGCCCTGAGTATCTCAAAACCATAAATAAGGTGATGTAGCAATAATCAAATAAGATGTTGTAATAATATTAAAATAAGGTATTGCAATAATAATAAAATAATATGTTGTAATAATAGTAAAATAATGTGTTGTAAAACTAATAAAACAACCAGTAAAGAGGTCAATAAAGCCAATACTGAAGCTATTTAATTGGTGCATCATTTAAAAAAATGCAAAATACACAAAAACAAAAAACGAAAACTTTTAATTTTAAAAACTTATAATGTTATAAGGGTCGTTTCCACACCTATCGTGAGTTTAACAAAAGTTATTATAATGTTAGATTTCTCAAAAAGTAATGCATTGAAATTGAATTTTTGCAGCCATAAATGTAATATTATAAAGATTAGTTTAAAATTATGCTTACTCTGAAGTTTAAATCAATACTTATTTTGATCAAACTTTTAAAGCGCAGTTTTGTACTTTTATTGTAAGTGTTTCAAACTTATCATATATATTGTTGACACTTATCATATATCATAATATCTGCTTTAGTGTCTGATAATGTGCTCGCAGTTTTTTTTGTTTTGCATTTTTAATAACAAAAATTAAAAAACAAGCAAGCTGTTGACTTAAAGCTGTTTTAAAAAGTTTTTTTTTAAACTACTCAAAACAGTAAAAAGCTGTAAAAATGTTTAAAAACATGATTACACTGTTAAAAATTTGTTGAGCATGTCATGATAGAGATACTTTATTTGTAAATATGCTTAGTAATTAATTAAGTTTGTACATTAAATAGGCAACTTTCTTATAGTAAAAGATTTTACATGTAAGCTTGATTTTTCTTTAAAATTAACAGGGCAAGAGCACTAATAAACTGAAAAAAAAATTGGTAGAAACTTATTAAAGAAAAAAATAACCCCGTCCCTGTTTTTATTTTTTTATTTCTTTTATAGAAATTTGTAGAAGTCATGAAGTATTAAACATTTATCATTAACTCAAAACAAAGATTTTTATATTTTTCTCTTTTTTAAAAATTATTGAAATAAAGCGAAGTTATTATAATGGTCGGTGTGGAATAGGCTTACCATGACCAGGATTATATGGGTCATCGTAACCCCGTTGTTCCACATATTTAAGTCATCTCATGTTTTTTGAAACTTTTTATACCAACAGTAATTAATTAACTTATTTCAAGCAGGTGTTCTAAATATTATTTAGACTGGTACTAATATTCAATCCTTTGATAAATAACAATGTATATCGAAGTTTTTTAAAATTATTTACAATAAAATATTTTTTTTATAGCTTTAAAATGTAAATAACAAATATAACTTTTCTATATGTATCTAGTTATTTTTTTATCTCTTACTAAAATATATTGAAGTTAGGATTAAATATAGAAAAGATCGGTGCCAAATAGACTCCCAAGACCCGTAGAATAGGCTCCCAAGACTCAAGACTTCCACACCAATCTTTTCTATACTTAATCCTTACTATACTAGTAATATTAATGATTCATGTTTTATTTACCTGATTAAGTCAATTTAGAAATAAAATTTTATGTTATCTTCTTAAATTTCCTTGTTTTATTTGAAATGCTTCTAACAGCTGGTACTTTTAAAAAAAGTATTTTTATAGGTTGACGTAATAAACCCACTGAGTTCATAAAAGTAACTATGTATTGCAGTTTCTATCTATTGTAATAGAAGGGCATGATGATGTTGTTGATACACAAAATATTAAAAAAAAAATAATAACTACTTTTTGCAAAACTTTTGTTACTATTTAAAACCTACGATTTAAAACCTGTGTCGACTCATGGTAGGTGTGAAAACGACCCTATATTGTAACTTTTCTAAATGATTTAAAAAAATAAAATCTAACTTATATTATTTGGAAATTTTGTTTTTTAGTGTTATACATTTTTTTAAATAAAATTTTTTATATTGGATGGTTAGTGAGAAGAAAAGGGATACTAAAAACCCTAGTATCCATTGTTGTAGAGTACTAACCTTATCCTATAACAATGGATACTAGGGTTATTGGTATAACCTGCATCATTTCACCATTATTATTTCTAAAATTTATTTAAAATTTAAGTTTTTTGTGAAACAAATTAATGTAATTTTAGAGAATAAAAAATGATATCTCATATATTGGAGGCAGCATATAATGAAAAGTGATAATAAAAGGTTATAAATCATATATATCAATATATTATAACCCATTGATACATTTTGTAACCTAGGAAAATATTTCTATACTAATTTCTCTTATTTTAAATAATGATACAAGTATTTAAAACATTTTTTGATATTAGTTTGTGTTAAACCGCCACATCTACCCAACTCTCCCATAAGATACATCCCATAAGATATTTGGTGGTGGTCTGGGATAAAACTAAAGCCACTTTTAGGTCTATAATTTTTTTTTTCAAGGGAAAAAACGAAACAAAAAAAACCTTATTTTTAGCTATTACCCTTCGGATATACATATATAAAGTGGATAACTTTAACAACTTTTAAACAATTTAAAAATTGTTAAAGTTATCTAAAACTTTTTATGATAACTACAATTTCATACTTGATATCATATTAAGTACCTTTAAACAAATGCAGGATTAAAAAGTACTTACAGGATGATCTGAATCTAACTCTGAACCATAACTTAAAACACGAGTAGCAAATTTATCTAAATCAGCTATTTTTCTTGGAAACCATGGTACTAAAAATTTTAAAAAATAATTTAAAATATAAAAAAATATCCAATTTTTATGCCAAAACAATACAAATAACTATATGTTTCATGATTTGTAATAAATAACCAACGGAGATGTTGTTTGAACTCTTTTAAAGTATTTACAAGCTCTATATATTCAGTTTTGTTTCCATTAATTTTTAAATATTTTTTTCAAAAATGTCACTATATAGATAGATAGATTGATAGATAAATTCCCCACCCACCCACCCCCCAAAAAAAAAAAAAATTAAGATGGAAAAAAAAATGTTTTAAATTGATAGTTCACTACTGAAACAAAAAAGTGGTTCAATGTAAAATTTTTAGAAAATAAAATGTATTTAAATTTTAACTTATGAACATATTTTCAAATGAATATAATCATTTAAAATTACAAATGCTTTCTCTGAACAAAAAGTGAACTTAAGTAAAGAGTATAGAAAAAAAAAATTAAACTTTTAACTTATAAACATAATTTCAGTTTAAAAATACAAAGAATTACTCTTAAAAAAAATGATTAGAAGGTTCATAAAAATGTTTACACTTTTAAATTATAACCATATTTCAAGTTAATAAAGTTCTCCTCACTTTAACATACAAACCTACAGTGATAGCAAGTTATTTTTAATAGAGCCTAGAATAACAAAAAAAGCATATAACAAATTGTATAAACCAGGGGTTGGCAACCTTTTGAGAAGGAAGAGCCAAAAGTAACAATATACAAAGTTTTTCAATTTTTAAAGAGCTACCATTATCTTGATTTTAAAATTATATATATTTTTTTAAATTTTAGGTGCCCCAAGATTTAATCAAGAAGTTCACGTCTCCTTTCTTACTGTGACGCGAAACAGGTTCAAATCTCATTTTGAACCTGGATCTCCTGTTTATAAAACAAGCGCTCTAAGCCACTGCGCCACGGCCGGTTTTGTGACATTCAAAAACCTATGGATTCGAATGTCACAAAAAGATTACTTCTTCCTAGTTTTTGGTATCCAGGTGCTCTAATAATATAAAAATGGTTATGGACTACTATTGGTAAAAAATTAAGACTTTTAGGTTAGAGGAACAATGTCATTTTGACCCCGAAGTCCTTAGGTATAATGGCGGCTAGGACTCAAGGACTTTGGGCTTAAAAACAATATGTTTCAAGTCATTAAATTTCATAAGTTTTTTTATTTAGCAGATTATAAATCAACGAACAAGTTCAGAGCTTTTGGACACCAGAGACCAGTAAAAAATAGAGATATAAAACCGGAATCCTTTTGGGACTTCGCATTCCTGATTATGCTAATATTTGTGCATGTCCAGATAATACTATTTCGATGTCAAAATGCAGCTAAAGAACTTCATCTTGACATCAAAAGAATTACAAGAGGCTTTGCGAGCTGCAGGTTGTATCCCTTGTGTAAAAGTGTAAACAATATAATGCAGGTATGAATCTTTTTTGTTTGCACAGTAGACTGAGACAACAATAACTTTGAAAAAATAATAGTGTTACGAGTAAAAATCTTGTGTGTAATTATTTAGTTCTGTATTTGGTCTTTTTAAAGCACAAAACGGTTTTTAAAAAGTAGGAATATAAATAATAGGATAGGAATTAAACTACTGAAGGTTCAGTGACTATGTAACACAGGACTGCAAACACTGCAACATATATATATATATATATATATATATATATATATATATATATATATATATATATATATATATATATATATATATATATATATATATATATATATTGTATATATAATATATATATATATATATATATATATATAATATATATAATATATATATATATATAATATATATAATATATATATATAATATATATATATATAATATATATAATATATATATACATATATATATAATATATATATATATATATATATATATATATATATATATATATATATATATATATATATATATATATATATATATAATATCATAGGTAGTGGTGTAGTGGTAGAGCGCTCGCTTCATAAACGAGTGGTTCCGAGTTCGATCCCCACCACGTCCCTGGTAGTACCGCGCTCAACTCGTTTCTCCGCGCAGCGGCCTTGTTTGTCAAGGTTCGTGTTTCAGAGTTATAGAGTTGAGAGAGGGTTATAACCACAAAATAAGTAGCCTCCTCGTCTGTAGTGGCCTTCTCGGCCTTGAGGAGGTGAAGTAAAATAAAAAAAAAAAAAAAAAAAGTATTTGACTTTATGAAAATCCTGGAAATTTTTTTTTATGAAAATCCCGGAAAATTATTTTATTAAAAATTGATTGTACTAAGTGAAAACAAAAACTTTCGTAAACTTTTAAAACGGAATTTTAAACTTTTAAAACAGAACTAATATTTGAAAAAGACCAATTTTTGGTCCCAAACTTAGAAAAGTATTTAAAAAACAAAACATAAAAGTTATACTTTCATCAACTCCTAATTTAAACAATATATTTTGTAACAATAAAACAAAACTTCCTCCAAATACAAACCCGGGCATCTACCGAATAAAATGTTTAAGCAACTCTATATACATTAGTCAAACTAAAAAGAAAATTATATCAAGATGTATTGAGTACCAGAAAAACAGTAAAAAAGGAAAATGGGCCAGTTGCTACTGAGCATTCCAAATCATGCAAAGGTATGTTTGACTGGTTAAACCCAAAAACCAAATCAATTGCTCCAGAAAAATATTTTCGGAAAATCCGAGAATCTCTGGAAATAAACAAAGCTAAAGTTCAACAAAAGTTTGGAGGTGGCAAAAATGTTCTTAATAGGGATGATGGTGATAACATGACAACAAAAGCTTGGGGCCATTTTTAATAAGATTATCTGACGTCAACATTTAATCCTATTTTGTATTGTTATGTTGTAGTGTTATCTTTTTAACAGCTTGTTTTTATTATAACAATTTTCTTAGTAACGATTTTTATTCATTACCTGATGGCGCTGATCACAATAGATCAGCGAAATATTGAATAATATATAAAAATAAAAACAAAAAAAAATATGCATTTTTTTAATGTCAAAAAAACAAACTATGAAAATAAAAAACATTACATTAGTGACCTTTTTATTTTAATGATTAATTTTTTTCTACAACAGTCATTTTTTTTCTTTGTCTTATTTATATTTATAGATGTTTGCATATTAGCTACATCAATTGATGGCACACTTTTTCCTGAAACAACAGAGACTTTATGTCACTTTTTATGTGGAGGTTCATCCCCTCTAGCTTCAACTAAATGTTGTATTTAGACTCACAAGAGAACCTATTTTTGCAGTGATATCTTCATTTGTAAATTTTCTTTTAGGAAGTCTATGTAGCACCTGTTTTTGATCACTAGGATATATTATGATTTCTCTGAAGCCTGCCTTCATACTTTCATGACCAAAAAATAAATAATTAAAAGATATAAACTTGATGAAATTTAAATTAAAGGTAACTAAAAATAATTAAAATTTGTTTTGATATTTCTTTTTAGAATATTTAAAAATAATAATATAATATTAAGCATTTAATAAGTTATTAAATTTTTAATTTAATAAGTTATTATTAAATACATGATATGATATTATTATATTTATAATATTAGGTATTTAATAAAAAAAAAATATCATATTATTGGTGTTGTTAAACGCACAATAAAAAATGAAAATTATAATCAACATAATAGTTATAGTTAAATTTTATCAAATTATATATATATTTCTGCAAATTTTTTTCAAAACTTTAAAAACAGCAAGTAAACATTACTTTAATTTGATGATAAGAAAATTTAAAAAAAGCACATTTTTGAAAAAAGAATGTTTTAGCATGGTTCCGTTTAAAGTAATTGCAAATGCATTCATTTTAACTTAAATTTGCCATTCTTTTGCAAACGCATGTAAAAACCATGCTAAAACATTATTTTTTCTACAGTTGCATACTTAAAAGAAACGTTATTGAAGAAAGTATTAGCGTCAAGCCTTCCCAGGAAAGGCGTGCGGTTTTCCGTCTCGTACAACCATGAAAACGTTTTTTAAGTTTGCGCAAGTTATATTACACGCGTTACTGAAAAATTGTTTTAAATTTAATGACTACATAAGAAATTAAAGTAAACTTAAATAGAAAACAATAATAATAGTTTAAATAATTTGCATGTTGTTTTTATTGTTGTTTTTTCTTAGTAGTTATTATTATCGGCAACAAAATTCATTAAGTCCAAGCAAAATTTTTTTTTTTTAAAAAAAACGATTTTAGGCGTTAAAAAGGATGACTTTCCCATATTTTATGTGTTTTTCTTTTAAAGAGGAAAGAGAAAATTTGTATTGTCATCTGTTTGTAAAATATATTTGTAACAAGTTATCAAGAGTTAAATAATACAATCACGATTTGCAAAATCTGGTAAAATATTAGGTCTTTAAAATTTTAATTCATGCAAAGCTGTGTACTTTGTTTATAAGGAGCAAATTATTCAAAGTTTGCTAGCAAGAAAGTTACAAAAAACAAAACAAAAGCAATAAACTTACAACTTCAAAAGTAATAACACTTTAGTCACTAACTGCATTATAAAAGTAATAAAACTATAATAGTGTTATTACATTTATAAAGCATTTATTACTTTTAAAGTTCATTTTTTGTTTAAACAACATTATTAATTCCAAATATTTATTTAAGTAGAAAAGCATCTAGAAAAAATAAAGCGGATATTCAAATATTATTAAAAATTTCAGGAACTTTCACACATCACTTAAACAACGTTATAAAAAAGTATTATGAAAAAGCATTATGAAAAACGTTACATAAAAACGCGCATTAATTTTAAAATTAACCAATAAAAAATTTTTATTGGGTAATTTTAAAATTAACGGGCCTTTTTACAGTCCATTAGTAACGTTTTTCACAATGCTAAACTTTTAATACGATACATTTTCATAAAGTTGTTTGTCACGTTTTTTATAAGTTACTACAGTTTTAATATTATTTGAACATCCACTTTATTCTTCTAGATATTTTTCTACTTTAATTAAAATTTCGGAATACTAATGTTGCTTGAACAAAGAATGAATTTCAAAAGTTATAAGTGCGTTATAAAAGTAATAACACTATTATAGTGTTATTACTTTTGTAATGCAGTTAGTGACTAGAGTGTTATTACTTTTGTAATTGTAAGTTTATTGTTTTATTTTTTCGCTAACAAATTTAAGTTGATTCTCCCCTTAAAAACAAGGAACACAGTTTTGTATAAACTAAAATTTTGAATACTAAATTTTTTCCAGATTTTGCAATTTACATTCGCTTAATTCAACCTTTGTTGTTACATTAAAATTATAAAAATAAATTTTACAAACACATTGCAATTTGTATTTTTGCTATCCTCTTAAAAAAATTTAGAAAAGGAAAATCATTCTTTTTATTGTAGACTTCAAACTGTTTTTTTTGCTTTGTCTTATCTAATTTTGTTGCTGAATGTAATTCTAAAGAAACAAAAATAAAAACAGTACACAAATTATTTAAATTATTAATCTGTCTTTATTTTTTTCGATTTTAATCTCTTTTTATTTTGTTAGTTTTGTTTTATTATTATAAAACTTGCAAACGACCATGTTCACATTTTCTAAAATAATATAATACGAGACAAAAAACCGCACGCCTTTCCTGGGAAGGCTTGAACGTGGTTTCTTTTAATGTCATTGAAACTGTGTTTTAAATTTTAATAACTTATTTTTTTATATTAATTATGTTTTTTTATAATAAATAAAAAACTATCAATCACATTACAATTCAGAAAAAAAAATTGCTGAAGATATGCGTTCGTTTTTAAAAAATTTAAGCGAACGCCAACGTTTGCTTAAGTAAAAGTAAGGAAATGTGACGTTCGTTTTTCTGTCTTTTTTTTAACAAACGTTGGCACGTTCGTCGATTTGTCGCGCCCTGATATATATATATATCAAGGCGCAACAAATCGACGAACGTTTGTTAAAAAAAAAAACAGAAAAACTTAATATATATATATATGTATATATATGTATATATATACATATATACATATATACATATATATATATATATATATATATATATATATATATATATATATATATATATATATATATATATATATATATATATATAATTATATATATATATATATATATATATATATATATATATATATATATATATATATATGTATATATATATATATATATATATATATATATATATATATATATATATATATATATATATATATATATATATATATATATATATATATATATATATATATATATATATATATATATATATATATATATATATATATATATATATATATATATATATATATATACAATGAAGTGTCTATTTACAAAACTTTAATTCTTTAAATCAGGTTTAGAAAATCTTTGTTACAAGAAATCAACAATGTTAAGCAAGTCTTCACGACTTGCTTAACATTGTTGTAAAAAAAAAAAACAGAAAAACTTAATATATATATATATGTATATATATGTATATATATACATATACACATATATATATATATATATATATATATATATATATATATATATATATATATATATATATATATAATTATATATATATATATATATATATATATATATATATATATATATATATATATATATATATATATATATATATATATATATATATATGTATATATATATATATATATATATACATATATATATATATATATATATATATATATATATATATATATATATATATTATATATATATATATATATATATATATATATATATATATATATATATATATATATATATATATATACAATGAAGTGTCTATTTACAAAACTTTAATTCTTTAAATCAGGTTTAGAAAATCTTTGTTACAAGAAATCAACAATGTTAAGCAAGTCTTCACGATAGAAAAAGATAAACGTCTAGTTGATTACATTTTGAAAACTGCTGATCTTCAGTATGGACTGACTTAGAAAGATGTTCAAAAATTGGCTTACCAATTTAGGAAAGCAAATCAAAAAAAGTATGATGCATCTTGGATTAGAAACCAAATGGCTGGAAAAGATTGGTTGAAAATCTTTTGAAAAAAATATTTAAAATAATTATTGCTTAGAAAGCCTGAGGTAACAAGTCTGGCGCACTCAACTGCTTTTAATAGAGAAAATGTAACACTTACTTTACAGAACTATGAAGTAGCTCTTGGGCTTGAACAAAATCAAGGTATTACAGCATTTAACATACGAAATGTTCACACCAGCCTTAGCACTGTCCATAATCCTCCCAAAATCTTAACAAAAAAAGGTCAAAAGCAAGTTGGTGGAATGACTAGTGGTGAATGAGGATATAGTATAACAATGGTTGGAGCAATTAATGCTGGATGTGTTGAAACCAGGCAATGCCAGAAAACCAGCAACAATCTATGATGTATCAGCAATTGTTGGACAAGCTTTTCCCTTAGCTTTTACTCCAAGTAACATTACACAAGGTTTTCTAGTGATTGATGTTCATCCACTGAATAAAAACATTTTCAAAGATTATGAGTTCTTGTCATCCACTATAACAGATTTACCTCAGCCTGTGTCTGAAGACCAGCCTAGAAACAAAAGTAAGCATATTGGAGACTTTTTTGAGCAGACCTGAGCCCTCGACCGATACTGAGGTGACTAGCTACAGTCCTTCTTCCTTTGCAAACTATATAAGCACTAACATTGTGTCTCCTGATATTATTCTACCCTACCCAAAAGTTCAACCATAGAAACAAACTTGAAAAAGTAGTCCTAGGAAAAAATCTTGCACTCTAACTTCCAGTCCTGTAAAACTTAAAATTAAAAAATAAAAAAGCTGAGAAAATAAAGAAAAAACCTGGCAATAAAATGTAAAATAATAAATAACCAGGACCTGTTTTGAAAAAAAAGCTGAGCATTTCCATGGAACAAAGTAGAGATTTAGAGGAAAATGTAGATGTAGTATATGACAAAGTATCTGCTTAGTAAGAACTTCAGACTTCACAGTTATGAAAGATTTAGATATTAAAAAAAAAGAAAAATGAAATTCCAGCCTGGAGTAATTATCTTAGCACAAATTCAAAGCAAATGTGCTTTAAAAAACTTTGTAGCAGAGGTACTAGAAATTGCTGAAAATTTTTTTAAAATTCAGTACTTAAAAAAGGACACAAACTCACAAAGATTTACAAGAGAAGATAAAATTGTGTATGAGTTGGACAAATTAGACATGTTTTTTCAGTTGCCACATCCCTCTATTACAGAAGTTTCAACATGACAGCTGGAAAAACTATTTGGCATTAACTCTGATTTGAATGTAAAGTAGACAAATGCTAAACCAAAGTTAAAGGCCTAATATTACAAAAATTTGATCGAGACATTAATTATTATTTTTTTCTAAATAAACTTTGTTTCTTATGTAAGTTTTTAATACTTTTATGATATATTAGTTTAAATTTATACATACATACATACATACATACATACATACATACATACATACATACATACATACATACATACATACATACATACATGCATGCATGCATGCATTCATACATACATACATACATACATACATACATACATACATACATACATACATACATACATACATACATACATACATACATACATACATACATACATACATACATACATATATATGTATACATACATACATACATACATACATACATACATACATACATACATACATACATACATACATACATACATACATACATACATACATACATACATACATACATACATACATACATACATACATACATACATACATACATACATATATATATATATATATATATATATATATATATATATATATATATATATATATAATGCATCTCATATATTATGCAAATATAATATTATCCTTACTTTCTTCATTATGTAAAACAACATTTTTGGCAACTAACTTCAAATCCTCAATAACTAGATTGATGTTATCACTTTGAGTAGATTCTTCATCGATTTCAATATAAAAATCATATCCTTTCAGGAATTTAGCAGGACGAGATTCTATATGTTTTAAGTTTACATGGCGATTCTAAAATTAGTGCAAATTTAATTATAATTTTATTATAACTTTATTCTTTTAAAAAAACATTTAAAAATTTAATATTGAAAAAATATCAAGTAATTAAAAAAAAAATTAAAATGTAAACAACACATATATTTACACTTTATTTAATTAAAAGAAAAAAAGAAACCTTAAAAATAACCAATGCATCAGCTAAAACTCCACAACCTTCATTTAAAGAAAACACAATTGATTTATCTAGCATTTGAATTGGCTAAAAAAGTTTTTACTACAATATATATTTAATGTTTTTATCTATAATTGTTACTAATATATAAAGATGTTACTAATATATTATATATTAGTAAAGTCTTTATATTATATTATATAAACTATTGAAAATGAAAAGTTAAGGATTCAAATAATTTCACATATACACATAATATATATATATATATATATATATATATATATATATATATATATATATATATATATATATATATATATATATATATATATATATATATATATATATATATATATATATATATATATATATATATATATATATATATATATATATATATATATACTTACTTATGTATAAATTCAAGTGCGTGTGTGTGTGTGTGTGTGTGTGTGTGTGTGTGTGTGTGTGTGTGTGTGTGTGTGTGTGTGTGTGTGTGTGTGTGTGTGTGTGTGACATGTATCTGAATTTATAAATTTAAGTATTCTAACAAGTAGCATTAAACCTCTTGAAACAAAATTAGGGAATTGACATTTTATAGTTATTTTTAAGGGGGTGTGTTCCAGGGTATGCCAAATGCGTATTTGTAGTGAATATATAATGCGTAATTGTAATCAAGTCATGTAGAAATTGTAATGAACTCACGTGATATACTTGTTTTTCGAGTAAAGATAACCGTTGCTCTTTTGCGATTAGACACATTGCGCAACTACGACGGGAAAAAAATTCCCAGCAAGTAAAAAATAAGAAAACTCTGATTTTTTCGCTCGACGACGTCAAATTTCGGTGTTGAAAGTTTTTTAATTTTTATAATTTTAATATAATTTTAATATAATTTTAATAATAATTTTAATAATAATTATAATTTTAGTAATAATTTTAATAACAAATAAAAAAATAAATAATAAAAAGGTACAGTGCCTATCAGATAAATTTATCAAAAAAAGAATACTTGAAAATGAAACCTAATATAAAACTATAATAGTCTTCTAGATTCTTTTTTTTCTTTTTGTTCATTTAACAATATTTTTTTTTTATTTATTTTTTTTTCTTTATTTGAGTTTTCATGCTATATTTTTCGTTACAATGTTCTTATATCCGAAGATATTGTTGGCTTAGCATAGGACAAGGGTAACGCATGCGCAGATACGGCATTAAACTTCCGTTAGGTAGGTTAAATCTATCGAACAAGTAACCTTGTTTACGTTAGGTATAAACTTAAAAAACAAAAAAATATTTTTAAATTTTTTAAAATTATATAACTAAATTGCCAGTCTATAATTACTCAGTTGAAGATGTTTAGCAGTATGTCTCTGGTAGAATAATAAATTATTATAATAAAAAATATATAAGTTAAACTTTTATATAATTTATGAGTTTAAGAGTTTATTATTTTTTTTTTTTTATATTTTTTTTTTTAATTCACCTCCTCAAGGCCGAGAAGGCCACTACAGACGAGGAGGCTACTTATTTGTGGTTATAAACCTCTCTAAACTCTATAACTCTGAAACACGAACCTTGACGAACAAGGCCGCTGCGCGGAGAAACAAGTTGAGCGCGGTACTACCAGGGACGTGGTGGGGATAGAACTCGGAACCACTCGTTTATAAAGCGAGCGCTCTACCACTACACCACTACCGCATTTTACACCACTACCGCATTATTATTATTGTGTATATACACAATAAAAATCCCAAAACAATTGTAGGTTTTGAGATGCTGAGACATAGTACAAAATTAACTTCAGAAACATGCAATATTATAATTAATTATATTACTGTATGTTTTTGAAGTTAATTTTGTACTATGTCTCAGCATATCAAAACCTACAGTTGTTTTGGGACTTCCATTTTATGCATTGACTTATTTATCAATTTTTCCTAGAACTATTATTAGGTAGGTACACGCCCTTGTATTAAAATTGTTAGATTCTGATAAATATTTTTATCATTATTTAAGTTAGTGAAAATAGTATGAAAATTAAAATAATATTTTATTAAATTACACATATATTAGTGACATAAATAAATTACAGGATGTGGGGTGTCATCCCCCCCTCCGCCCACCTATAAATAAAGTAGTTTAAAAATAAAAAATTAGCCGAATAAAAAGTGGTAAGGTACACTCCTCTAAAATCTTAAAACTTTTTTTTTTTTAGTTATTAAGGTGCTCTAAGAAATCCTAATGGTCTTGTCCCAGAGTGCCACATTAAAAATAGCATTTATAAAGATAACTTTATAAGATAATTTTTTTGATAAAATTTATAAGATAACTTTTTTGCTTCCAACTTCACCGATAACGTTTATATGCTTCGAGCTGAGATCGAACCCGCAAACCTTGGATTACGAGTCCAATGCTCAAACCACTGCGCCACAACTGCTAAACCACTGCGCCATGGCTACTAAATTTATTGGTGCCTTTAAATGCTAACAAAAAAAAGATAATGTATACATATGCATAATGAATAAGAAATTTATTTTCTGAGATTTATAACTGAGATTAATAACTATAAATATAAAAAACGACATAAAAAAAAAACAAAACAAAATAAAAAATTATGCATTAATTTATAACTTCTATCTTCTTTCTATCTTCTATCTATTTTTTTGTATTAGGAGCTTTACAAAGTCCTGAGGGCCTATAATAATGTCCAATAATATTCAAGAAAATTGTGGCTATGAAAATAGCCGTTTTATTTTTTTTGAAGAGTTTAGCTGACCAATAAAAAGAAGTCCAAAGATCCATATTATCTCGTTAAAGCATTGATCTCGTAACATCTGATAACGCCAAATCACCGCATATGATATCTGCAGACTGTTGATATTTATTCATGTCATACTAAATAGCATCCTCGTCCTGACACTCCTTTGGTTTTCAGTAAGAAATGATATATACACTAATGTTCTTTTTTTTTTAATCTAAGAATTCGCCCGTAGTAAATTTCCTGAGTGTTAGTGACAGAATCATACCACACATGGCAGATATTTCGTCTAATAACATCACCAAAAAGAATATCTTCTATATCTGCAACCTCGTCATTTTCTAGATCAGAAAACAGTATTTGTATTTACTGAAGTACACAGTTTTTTAAAAATCTTTTCTATATTTTTTCTTTCTTTTTCCTCCTTTTTTTGAAGCTTGGCAGCCATTCGTTTAAACAGTTCTATCTTCAATTCCTCATGTTTTTGTATGTTTGCAAATCGCTTTTTTCTAGCAGTGGATATGGCCCATAATATCAATTTGTTTTGAACCTCAATAGGTTTTTCATAGAGGAAATCAGTGGTTTTATTTTTGCATGCACGCAGTTTTTGCTTTGCAGAACTGAACATACCCATAAGATCTTCTGAGTCAAATTTGTGAAGTCGTGATAATAATGTCTGGGCTTTAAGTTTATCAGTTATATTCAAGTTAAACAGTATTGCCGGTCAATGACATAAACAACAGCACTCAAACAGTAGGCTATTGCGTCTCTCATTTCATCAGTCCTTAGAGAAAAGTTAACAATAGAATCAAACACCGGATCATTAATACAACCACCAAAAAAGTCTGTTGTTTGGTTTAATAAAGAAAGAGCATTCTTCTGGCTCTCAAGAAGAATTTAACACCAGACAAAAAAATCAAGAAGAATTCAACACCAAGACAAAAAAGTCAATTTCACTTTGTGCAACATAGAAATTGGTCATCCAAGGTCAATAATTTTCCCATTAAACCTATTGCACACAGCTTGCGTATACCTTAAATGAATATACAAATGCGAATAAAAAAAAAACCATATAGAAGATTAAAAGCCGTTATCTGATTTCCAATATATAAAGTATATATAAAATATTTACCAGTGTCTGATGTTAAGTCTAGGAGCAAGCTATTTCTCAGTCCTCCACATGAAACCACACCAGAATGCAGGAAGGTTTTTAACAGAGCATAGTAATGAATTAAGACTCCACACGTGTGAAAAAGGATGTGTAGTCGATTTCCTTTGTAGCGAGGTAATAATCCTCTAGGGAGCTTGTTGTTATCCAAAAATATAACAAAACTCTTCCAGTCACCTTAATTAAGAAAACACAATGTATTTATATCTATACTCTGTATAGAAGTCTTTTGCGAGTTTAAAGCAATTCACTTTTTAAATCTTATATTCAAAAACTTATAAACATAAAGCAATAATTTGATAAACTTAAAGCATCAACAAAATTACACTGCAATAAAGTAAGTATAATAAAAACTGCTTATATATGTGTGTGTATATATATATACATACAGTCAACAAAAAGCAACACAGTCTTTACCAAAAAAATTCCCTTGTGAAGTTTCCAACGGTTTAAGAGATGACTTACAAGCACTAGTTATTGTGTCTAATGGGTGAAGATGACAGTTAAGTTCATTTAACGACTTTTACCACAAATTGTTTAACTTAGTTGCATGGTTTGTGGCGACCCGGTCGCTCATGGTGTTACTTATATTGCTAATAATAGTACTTCGTAATTCCAAGTACTTTTGCTGGTAAAAGTCACTATACAATTTTGCTAGATGATCTATTGACTGTGTAATGTGACTCTGATAGTCATTAGCTGTACTTCCAGTAAGTTGGTCAATTGCCACAACCATGCATTTTGTCTGAGTTGTAAAGTGCATTTTCATGAATACCCTCCTGAGTTGTAGCATCAAAACCCAGAGTAAGATCTTTTGTTGAAAATGCAGTCTCTCAGCAGTCTGTAGGTCTAAAATAACACCTATTTTTGTCAACAAGTTGCTTTTGTAATACTGATGTTACAGAAGATAACTGGTTCTGGGCTGACGCTAGTTGCCTTTTCAAATAAAGCATTTTGAAGTTGCTTTAACTTTAAATTGAACAATTTTTATTAACTTCTCACGCAGTTGACAAATTGTTATTTCTTTTTGAGCAATAGTCTGATTAAGTTGTTTAAGTATATATGATTTTGATCGAATTTTTACTCTCAAAGTTTTTAAATCCTTTTTATATTTTTAGACTTTTTGTGGCAACTTCATTTGCCAATATAGATAATGACCTCTGTTTAAGGACTTTTTTCTTGGAGTTAGTTGGTCATCTCTCAACTAGGGAAACAGTAGTTGTGAATCAAGAGAGGATGTACGAGAATTTGATAAAAAATCAGGACATGATTCTGAGCTATTTGGTCCAATGGGGGTTAAACGATGCAAAGAATTGGATGTAAATGATGCATTGTAGACTGTAGTAGGCACTGTAACAGCTGCAATGTCAGGTAAAATAGTTGAAGAAATTGAATTAAAAAATACTTCTAAGCAAATGTTTTTAAACTTTTTTATATCTCTTGATATTGTTTTTTAATATTTATTGATACTGCAACCTATTAAATGCCTAATCTGATTTTTACTTGTAGAAAGACGAAATATTTTAAAAATATTTTTTTCTGTTTTAGTAGCTGAAAATCCATTTTGAATATATAAATAAATAACAAGTCCTTTTAAACATAGCTGATAAGAAGTCAAATTTTCAGAAAAAGGCAGTTTGCTGTAAGTGGACTTGAGATAATCGAAAATTGCACTGTTGCATTTTTCTTTTTGACATTTTAAAACTTGAACTGCTGCACATAAAATTAAAAAATGAAAATAAATTTTTTCACATAAAATATAACAATAAAGCTTGCATTAACATGTCAAAGATAATTACATCAAAGTTTCAACGATAAAAGGTGTTCTGTTCTTTTTTTTATAAAATT